TAGTTTCTCGTTTTTGCATGAACTCAGCGCTTGGTTGAGTCAAACAAAACTCTTTGACCAACTACAGTCTTCTGCAACTTTTTACTATCGGAAACATCCTGATAGTGCAAACATATAAACGTCACTTGAATAAAAGTCTGTGCCAGAAATAATAAGAGCTGGCAATATAAATCGGGATTATTTATGCCACCAATTAAGCGATCGCTCTGATATGTATCAAACCTTTCCTCTAATGCACAAAATGAAGCTTGAGACCAAAGTAGGAAAACGAAATAGCGAACAGATTAGTTAGGTTGACGCAGGAGTATGGTAAACTGTACTCCCACAGCAACCACGATATTTTCCGGTAATCAGTGAAACAAAAGTAGGTCCTTCGAATTTCCCTAGACAATTTCGACAGTTGCTAATTATAAGCCCGATATTTTAGGAGTGAATAGTCCTGTCGTCCGACAACAGTTACAAAGTCAACCCCTTTAAGATTTTCGCCAAGGTAATCTTTGGTGAGTCACCATTAGCTAGAATCTCTGCGTGTATTGATGTAACTCCCGGGCAGGTGCATTTACGTTAAAGGATGCGATGGTTAAATTCATTTTGGAAGAAACATTGACCACGACGCCAATTATAGTAGGTTCGGAATCGAAATCGAATTTGGCTACAACCAGGCTATTCTCGACTCGTAGTATGAACCCGAGAAATGGAATTCGAATTTCACGGGTATGTATTATAGGTTGATTGATGAAAATGCACACCATTGACAAATCATTGAATATTGTATGTACAATCGTCGCAGACACGCTAAGGATTTATGTCGTGTGTATTCAGCACACAGGCGACTGGTTATGGACTGTGTTTACACATTATTTCAACACAGTATACACATAACAAAGGCATAGGGCAACAGACCAGACATAAGCTATGTAAAAAGTTGAGCTAAAACTGGTTGCCCCGGTTAAAAGGCGTAAAGTACAGAGTAAAATAGCTTCTTGGTTGCAACTATGTCGTTGTCTGTATCTGTTTAGAAAACAGATGCCTACTGTATAATAGGAATCCATGCGAATTAATTGGGAATTCTGGCACCAGCATCTAAGTAGTATAGTCTTCCACGGGCCTAAAAAAGAGCAAATTTCGTGTCATTCCATCATGATTAATCAGTCACTCGTGTCTGTGGGCTGTAGCAGGAAATCAACAGTGACCATTGTTGTCTAGCGCCATTAGCCAGTGTCATTTGTCATGAGGTATAGATGTAGTGTTGGACCGTCATGAATTACACCGCTGACTGTTGAACAACGCAACTCATCCCCCACTGTAATGAAAGCTGCAGTGTTGCAAGGAACAGGGCCGGTGCAAAGGATAATGAATCCTATTAAAGGCTGTTACGCGCCAAAACATTTAGAGCCTGTTAGACCTAAGTATTTCACATACTGTATTATATAACATTAAGATCTTAATTCAAGAAGGTCAGTCGCAGCTCCACCCAATATCAGTAGTCTACGAAATGTGATGCAGGGATTTGCTCCACTCAGAACTTCCGATGGACCAACAAAAACGGCTATAAAATTAGCAAACGCGCTGTGCTTGCAATCTGCCCCTACGTTTCAGAGGGTCGTGCTACTTAGCGATCCTACAGCATTTATCGTTCCGCCGCCAGGTTTAACCCACTTATCTTTTACCGCGGCGGCAGGTGTCTTTACACAAACACAACACGCAAGATATTGATACCAAGCGTTCAGATGCACCGGAAGCAGCAGCAAGCTAATTAGCAGTACCTCAGTTTCCAGTTTTTCCAGCGTTACTTAGAGCAGAACTAGGTTCCTGCTATGTGGAAGCTTGGAATTAAAACCCCGACTCACAAAGGTGGAAGTAGAACTAAACCCACCAACTACCACCCAATACCCATTCTCCCTACACTCTCTAAATTCATAGAATCTAACGTTGCCAATAAATTGGTGGGTTGTTTGGAAAACTGCTACAACATGACCCCGAGTAGCAAGACTTCCGTCGAGCGCCATCGGACCCAAATAATTTAAAATTGCAAGCAGTTGTGGGATAAAATCAGTTGACTATCAAAAAGGTACAGATTTTTTGAGGGTTTTTGATCGACTAGAATGTCGGATACCACTTTACAAACTCCAGCACTGCGGGTTCCGTGGTTCTATTCTAAGCTGTTTCGCCAAGATTCTACTTTAACGGCAAATAGTGGACAGGGTTCGGAGCTCTTTGTCGGACCCATAAAAGTCGAGTGTGTTGTGACGCAAGGCTCAGTTCTAGATCCATAACTGATTTTGTGTTTATTAATCACCAAGCACAGGCAATATGTTCAAGCTTCCGAAGGTTTGCATAAGATATCAAGAGTTGGCGCAGGATTCAGTTGAATAATGATCAACAGCTACTTCAGAGTGACCTGGAGTCGGTATATCAATGGTAAACACAATATTTACTGAGTTCAACTTGGGTAAATGCACGATACACTCCATAGGACATCAGAGCAACTACTCACAACGAATCGGGACAAGGGTACGGCAACAATCATCCGTCGTCCGTGACTTGCATCTGCTAATTCAAGATGACTGGGCTGCTCCAAGCAAGCCGAAAATGCTTTGAAGAATGGAAAGCAAACATCGGGCTGTTGCTGCGAGCTTTCGGACAAATTAGCATCCTTAATTTTTGACATAAGCACAGGGGGTACGTTCAAACTCATGTTGTAGATGTACTCTAAGCATGACATCCATGGGTAAAACGCGTGCCTAGCGTGTTGAACTAGCCTAAACGTCAGGAATCCAAATACGTCATTGGAATGCGTTACCTATCGTCAAAGCAGCGGCTGAAACGATTGGGATATTCAACGGACGGCATCGCAGATTACGTGGCGACCTGATTATTACATATTTGATTCTAGACGAGCCACATCATGTGTGTCGCTCCTTACTGCAACTCAGCAGCAATACGAAATGGTGATGTGATTCCCTGAAACTGGTAGAACATAATAATCGTCTGGGTGGCATCAGGAACATTTTTCCATTTGTGTGTATCACATGTATAGTGCTGTCCCTGAATCCGTCGTCCATGCACCGACACTAACAGTATCTAAAAGCCGGTTGGCTAACACAGTCCACCACTTACACTTTGTAAGTTAGTGCTATTCCTGGAGTGTACCTTGGATTAATTTGATGTTAAATGTGGGTGGTGTGAATCCACGCGGATTTCAGAAATACGGCGGAACATGCAATAAATCCTTCTTTTCATATTTGAAATACTATTTTATTATTATTATTAGCATAACTATTTTGACATCCACACCAACTGTCTATCGGGACTTGAAAAGTAGCGCTTTTATATTGCCAAGAACACAAAACTGATGACTTCTACAGCACTCTTCTCGTAACTGTATTATTGCTATTAGTTAGTGTACGGACGGCATGGCTAAGATGAGCCGCGATGATTACTGCCACTCGCAATGCGCAGCAAAATCTCATTGCGTGGAAGATCGGGTCAAAATAGCTTGAGACAAAAACTGAGTGATAGGTTTCGGCCAGAAACCCGATCATGGTAATGATGCTGCCGCTCTTCGGTACGTTCAGCGAGATGTCCCGTGATGTTGCCTACATAGCTTCTCCTACACAAACAAGCAAATTACTCCACTCAAAAGGTGGTATCCCGTGCTTATTCAGCTCAAAATTTCAGAGTTAACAGGATTTCAAGCGAACCATTTTGTATTTGCGCATTTATGCCGTTGTTACCTGTCATTCTGACTTCTGGCGCGACTACTCCGCTGTGCACTGGCTTACATCTCTTCATCAACGATGAAAGCTTGCGTAGTAAAGTCACAATGAGCGCCTCATTTTTAATCACGTCCACATTAGAAGTAGCGCGGTTTGATGCAACTACCGGGCAAGGTACCACAACTTTACCTTGCATACAATGAAAACCATATGATCATGGCATGACTAACTTCCGTGCTTGGTTGCACGAGCTACCTAGATCCGCTTCAAGTTACCTCCTAACTGAACACATCTGGCAATTGTAGCTTTAATGCTTGTGGGATTTTATTAAACATATTCCCTGAAAACGCTATGTTTGGTATTACAGTTGCTTCTCCGAATTATTGTACTGTGGTACTTTTTATGGTGTTACCCACTAACTAGGCTTACCAGCGCCAAGCAAGATTCTTTTACTTCTCTTTTGACTTGGCTAGATTAAACGCTGTTTGAATTTTGAAAATCCTATCAAGCTGCAATTCATGGTTTAAATGTATTAGTGGAACCAAGTTTTACACCTACTATCCGGTTGGCAAGCTTTTGCACCGTCACAAAACGCTGTGCACCAGCCTTGCTCTTACGATACCTGATCGTACACGATAATCAAGAGGCGACAACCTATTATCTAAACCTGTTTATTTAGTAACTTCAGTCTCCAAATACTTCAGGGCAATAATTTGAGCAGTAATTTATACGCACCTACCACAGCACGCTAATGTGCTCAGTCGTTACTTCAGTAAACTGAACAAGATTGTTTAACAGGAAATATAAATTTGATGATTATGCAACGCTGGTCAGGGTATGCGAACCATGTACATGTGCATCCCTACACTAACGATCTTAGCCCGCTTGCACAATTAAGTTTATTAATATGTGTATCAGTTGTGTCACTGATTAACAGTGCGGAGGTAATGCGATGTGCAAGAACCTACTAGCAATTATCCAACCATTCCACAAACACAAACAATAATGAGTCGTTGATTTCTTTTGCGCTTTTATATGCTGCCCATTAATCCTTTTGGGTTGCTAAGGAAACTGAGATTATACAGATGCGTCATGCAGCCAGTTTTTATAAAAGATAATTATGGATACCACAAGTGCTGTGATTTTGCGACTATTCACTCAGTAAAAATGCATCAACAGTGAATGCGAGGCAACTTTTACAAAACGAAATTGTCATTTAAAAGTTAAGGCAGATGAATATAGATCTGGTAGTCATAATTTGCACCAAAATTATATGCTTACCGTAGTAGTCTTTTTCCGGTCGTATCTGGAAAGGAGATACGCAACTCCGCCCCCAAGGCTTCGAAAATGTGGCCAAATTCAAGGCTATCGCTTCCATCGTTGAATTCTCATCAACTTCTAAGTTCAGTAGCAAATTCAGCCTTGCTAAATGTTGAGGAGGATTATCAACTGACTCCTCACGGAATTCCTCATGACATTTCGGTATAGGCTAGAATAGAAAACCCGCCACCGATTAGCTCGATCAAATTGAACCATCTCATGATTTTGTACAACGTAATGCTTACAGTTAAAAGCTATGTTGCGCAGTTTCGTAAGTTGTCAATAAGAAACAATCATATATATATTTATCTTACATTCATAACATTTTGCATCCTTAGGAAATTCGTCTGTCTAAAACTCAGTGCCAATTGATTTACTCACCATCAGCCAGATCACAAGCTGTAATGGAAAATTATGAATCAGTCAACTTTGTGGTTTCAATCACGCGTAAACTTTTCCTTACATAAATAACGGGTGACTGTTAATTTACTTGTAATCATTATTCAGTAATTGGCCGAGAGGAGATGGCAAGTAATGCGCTAAAACCAGTGCATTTTGAACTCAGGTCTGCTGCATATATTTCATCGTCTGTTTCAGATCAACACCCATGGTTACTTTATTTGGATGTAAATCACCGAGAACAAATATTGAGGCGCACAGAGCGAGATTATTTGGTAGGACAATGCATAACTCAGTTAGGAAAAGCTTGCAACTATTTGACTTCATGATATTGAGAGACAAAAGTTACTCTTCGTAAAACCTTGTTTGGGATCAAGGATCTCTATATACAGTGATAAGTGCATTTAGCTCTCCTTTGATTGAAATTTACACCTAGTATCAGAGGTACTAATGGATGTAGTTGCAGAAGTGCCACTGTACGGAAATCAAACACTGAATCCGGAAGAACTTCGAACAAATGAGCAACCGTATTTTTAATTCTCAATAAACAAAAAAGCACAAAGAGATTACAGAATTCAGTACTGTGAATTGCCGATCTATTCCAATCATGTATAACTTCATAACCGTCAATTCAGAACAGTGAAAAGAAACCGACCAAATTGAGGCAAAACTGAGCTAGGACACTAACGTTAATTAGGCAGTCTCAAGGAAAACGGAATATGTAGAACAACCGGAGATTTCAATTGAGCAGTGAATACATCACACTTTAAATAGGATATAAATTGCTGATGAGATGTTAGCGCACTCAGGATCTTTTAGTTTCTTATCCATTATAAATGTGATGCATCAACTCAGTTAATGCTCTGTTCCCACCACAGCCTAGCACAGAAATTACCCATCGGGTGTCTAATTTTACGTTGACGTGTCCAAACAACTTATGTTATTTTGCATGTCAGCCCGAATCATTTGGTATATTTATAGTACAATTTCTGATTAAGCTTTAGAACTAATACTAGCTTCCACCTCCAAACAGATTATCTAATTTATTCCACTGATGCTGAACATTTGGTTGTGTGATGCAAAATTGGTTACATTTGAAGTTTACGTTAATGCTATCAGTTAACAACTCATTGACCGCAAGAGTAATTTCACATAATAAAGCATGCCAGTAAAGGTTAACTTGCCTTTGTAAAGAAAATATTGCAGGCATCGGTTTGTCCTGCTTCCACTAACATAGTTGTGTCCACATCTTTGGAAAACATGTAACAACACTTAGTGGAGTGAATGTCTTTCGAGTGACGACATAAACATGGGTTAATTTAGACACACAACATTATGTGGAACTAGCGGCTAACTTCCAAAGAGAGAATAGTAACCTGCGAAACCGTAATTCAACTGACAAAATTTGAGTGGTATTTTTGTTTGTTTGCAAATTTTATCGAAACCATTTTTATGCGCCTCCGCATTTGTCAGGTAAAAAAAGTTGAGTTGACGATTGACTATTGATTTCAGCAGCGAAGAAACTGAAAACTCACGGAACTGTTTGACACTACCCACTGCTAAAGGGAAGGATGGAAGTCGAGCAGCACAATTTCCTCTATTATCCAAAATCAAAGGCCCTGTATTCATAATCTTAAATTAAGCTTTATTGCTGCACCTAGTTGTATAATGTTACCTAAAAACCAACTCCGCTATTCCATAATTATAGTAGCTAGAATACAATCTGTAATACCCGAAAGAGCTTTCACTGATTGATGTAATGGTGTAGGACCAGTGGTAAACCTTTGGAAGTTAATATTAACATCGACTTACTAGCAATTACAAAGCAATGAAACCGTGTACAAACAAAGGAACACTTACAGTGCTTCACTGGCCAATACATCCCAACAATTTGAACAGATATGTTATCCTGATTGTACGTGATATTTCTGAGATATCGCACTGGACCGATCCAGTTTTCCGGATATTCCCACGACACATGTTCGGTGTTGCAGTGCAACGTTCCACATTCATAAGCATTTATTTGGTTAGATAGCTTCTCGCATATCGGTTCTTCCAGTTCGACATCATTATTTGCGGCACTGGAGAACTGGATCGGAGATAAGAAGATCCATTAGTGTGTCAGCTTTTTCAAGTCAGTAAATTTACGTGTTTCGAAGGAATTCAATTTGCAAAGCGTGTAACCTATTTAGAGGGAAGCTCAGCGAATTATATTTCTTAGTGAACTAACTCAAATTCAGATGACAAATCATATATTCCAACCAGTAATGAACAGGGTTATTAAATTGGGATTGATCAACAAAATTCAGGTACCATAGAAGATAATTATATTTCATTCTCCAAATCCAACCTACGATTGTTGAGCAATTTCCGACATTCTATTCCTGCCACCTCGTGTAAATAACTACTAAGCTGTGTAGTTTTACTCACTAGGTCATGTGCAGTTTGCAAGGGGTCCAACTCGGTCCATATTCTCAGTATATATGCTGCAAAACGGAAGGTGATGAGGGTTAAGCAGGGATGTCGAGGCATGTACTGCACAGTGGCAACGGCAGGACCTACTTTGTTTGCTGGATGAATCCTTGCGATCTTTTACATGTGAACTATATGTGTACGCCGCCAATTTCATGCTGCGATAGTACCATATACTACGTGTGAATTTTACTTGATCGCGAGCACTTTACTTTGAAGGTGACAACTCTCAGGCATTCTCAGGCAAGTTCCGATTAGGATTCTATTAGATGTAGTGTATATTGTTACATGTGAACTAATGTATACATGTCTTTCTGTACCCTATGAGAAATAGCAAGTTCCGAATGTTGCATCCCTGCTACAAAGGCAACCTATTTGTCAAAGCTGATTTATAATATATCCCGATATCATCATGTACAGTGAACCTCTGTGAAAAATCCGAACAAATCAACAACACAGTGTATAGGTCGGTCAGGAACCAGATTGAGAGTTGTAACACGTTAGTTGGTTTATGGTAGAAAGTGACTGCATCAGCTACTTGCCGAGTGGTCTGCACGTTTAGTTTGCAACCATAAGGTCACCGGTTCGAATCCGCGTAGGAGTGGGCGCCTTCGCTGTATACTCATCCCGCGCGCGAATGGTGTTGGTTGCCTGACAACGAAGCGCCGTTACGGCGCGTAGCTGACACATTATTTCTTTATTCTTTCTTATATGCTTTAAATAAGGGCTTAATTAAATGCAGTAAGTGTATTTAGAATATATGTTTTGTTGGCAAAGATCAATTTTCGTATTATTTCCATGTAATCACAACAGCTGAGTTAAAATTAAAACAATGGAATGTACATGCTATGTTATGTTGCATATTTTTAATGACGCACTAAAGTCAGCAACACTGATTAACTTGTAGCAGGACTTACCGAAGCACCCCTGGGGTAGGCCATTTTCTTAAATTAAAATGGCATCACAATATAAATAAATTATTTAACATTTTATTCTAGAATGTATCGAGGCACACCATGAGCAAATATCTCAAGGGAGTTATTATATTTTAAACGGTAGTGAAACTTATGTGTCATTTCGCTTCACTTTGACTTTAATTATTCTACTTCGTCAGTAAATGCAACGTACTTATAGATGCTTGTCCAGAAAAGAAAACCTTTTGCGCAAACCTATTTAACTCGAGCTATCAAGTATCTTGCTAATACATGTTTAACAGTGCATAATTATATAATTGTAGCTCACCCTCAGTAAAATTCTTTTTAAGAATTGCGGGAATTGCTCGTGAATTAAGATTCCCTTGCCAAAGCAACACGTTCCTGTCCGTCGTGTCATTCATCTCGCAAACGCACGCCAGTTCTTTTGTCCTGGGTTCATAGAACCACTTGTAAACAACACAAGTTCCATAGGAAGTTTGATTCAAATCTAAACGCTAAGTGAATCAAAATAATTTTTGCATTAGCGTCGTCACATAATGTCTACCGGGATAATATTACACAACATGAAAGCACGGAAGGAATCGATTCGCCTAGACATGTATAATTTACAGTCAATCAAAAGTGAAAACGTTTGAACCACAACTAATTAAGAATACAGTAGGTTAGGGTGTTGAACTGAACCACCAACTTGATTTCTACAGTAGGATTCCACGTTTGTTCCAATTGTTTCATTCATGAAATCGTTGTAGGGTCTCGCGTCCTCGGCAACCGTGACCGACAAGAATTCTAAAGTGAACAATGGTCAAACAACCGTTAAAACGCTACACAACAATTATGCACAGTTGTATTAATAATCGACAAATGGTTGTCTTAGCAATCGTACAGAGTAACCGCTCTATACACAAATTCAAGTGACTGCTTCAAATTTGCAACGGAAAAGATTGCAAACTTAGTGAAATAATCTCGTTTCAGCTGTTTTCCGCCTAGTTTCGACGCAGAATCTTTATACAATGCAAGAAACAATCCTTGAACACGTTTGAATCAAGCCAGACGTTTCTGGAATGCGTATTACATGGTACTGCATGTGTTGCTTTTCACACCACTCAAAGTACTACTCCGCTACCTGAGGACTCTTTTGTGCAGCGAGTAGATATCTTGAAACTAAGCCATGCGATTGTTTAAGGCTGAGGTCGAAACATACGTGGAAGATGGAAAACCGATTTGGTGGGAAACGGTAGTAATACTTCAGAGCAACGCTGACTGCTTTTGACAAAACAAAACAATTTTATTATCACGACAGCCTACGAATATTCACTCAGCTGATATACTGCCAAAAATAGGAGTTATACTACCATCAATCACTGAATGACCGATGGTAATTAGAAAGCATCGCAATGGTGGTAATTAACTTTCATTTCAAACTCACTGCTAGAGGCACCAAGGAGGCAGTTTAGAAAGCACACAAATACCGCAGTTTGCATTTTCTGAACCTTGTTTCGACCAAACTGTGTCGCTGTGTGTAGAATGAGTGCGCCTGTTGAATGAATGAATACTTTATCTATACGCGTCCGTAGGGACCAGCAAAACAGATGGCCTATCACAGAACAGTCCAGACAGCTAATCACCGATTGGAACCACCTACGAAAGCTTGAGATGCTACATGTCTAGCTCAAAATGTGCTTTTAGCACATGTTGATGAAGGCAGCAATATTGGTTCACCATGCTCCGCGCGACGGATACTGATCCATGTTTCGACAAACGTCCGTACAAGCACACACAGAAAACATTCTGCACATAAAGTTCAGTGGTAATTATGTATGGCAAAAATATGGTTAATTTGAGAATTGAAGGGCTTACGCAGCACAAATCATGCAGATGGCTACAAGGATACAAGTCTGCATACTCCATTCTTCATCCAGGTAGTTATAAAACCGAGCAAACAAGCAAAACATAAATCCGTCGACACAAACTAATATGCAGATAAACAGTATACCTATCGAACACTTAAAGGAGACTACAAAGCATTTGGAACACTTCTCTGTCATAGAGGAATGTCTTCAGCGTAAGTCGCACGTTATCCGGCTGCGTGTCGAAACATGGCCAAACGATACGCCATCGACTACTCGTCAAAAGCTAGTAATGCGTTGCTCGCGGACCTAGGAGCCACAGTGGTCAAGGCGTCAATCTTTGAACACTAAGCCTCGAGGTCCACCCCAGGTCAGGCTATCTCCATCTGATGAGTCCAAAGGAGGACGAAACCGGTTATGGGGTGTCATGGTTAGGAGGAGCAACACCTAGCCACCAACCCATCCATTTACTTCTCCATAAACGCCAATCATATGCCAAGTTCCGCTTATCCATGTTCAATGGGGTAGGCATATGAGCAACATGTGGTAAACGAATCGGCATCTAACTGCAGCCGATGATGTTATCCGTGATACCATGCTGCAGAACTCAGTCCTTCAGTCCTTCGGCAAAGTCAACTCAGCAAAACTTACAGCAAGTTTGTCAAACCAAACTCCTCGACCTATATTGTCCGTTCACATCCCATAATGAGCAGCCTTATGAGACCACGCGTTTCCTTCTTTGACGCAGTTAGACGGACAATGAGTAATTTAGACGAACATCGGTCAATCCGTGTTCAGTGGTGGAATCCAATACTTATGTCTCCCAATAGTATTTAACTTATTCGTTTTATCCATCATTCTAATCTCATTTAACGCCTTCATCACATTTATACTTATCTCGATTCCTTGTCTCTCTCCATGGTAAGACACTGTATAATTTGCCAATTCCCGTTGTATATCTGTGCCTGACGCAGTTATCTTCTTTCCTCATGCCCTATGGCGCTCCACTTCCAATCCACCTTGTTGTCTCCGGTGTCGTCTCAAGGGCACTCGACTTCTTCTGAAAGACTTCAGCATTTCATTTCCCATGATCTTGTACTGAACTTCGCAGTCACCACTGCTTTCTTCTATCAATTTTGGCTACAGGGTACTGGATGAACCCACACTTCCTCTCCAATATTAACACATATAATACTCATGTACGACGGTGCTACTACCGTTCCTGATTGGTCATTCTTCTTCGCAGACTTCGGTGGCCTTTTACGTTTTCGCGAAACTGGACTCAGAAGTATGGTTGATGCTGGCGTCTAAGTTCTACTGCTTCGGTTGCATGGTGGTTGCACATGGTTCTGACCGATTCTGTTGAAAGAGTGTTGCGATTCTCCGGTTTGGGCCTTGACCACTACCTCCAGATTTTTATACCCGTCAATTTGCCTGCGTCACTGCTGACTCCACCATATCCTTCGATTGGCTGATTCGCTGTGGCACTAATTCCTACTTCGTTGCCATGGCCTGTATAGCAGCGTTGATAAACTGTAGATCATCGTCGGAGACCAGCACCTCTGATATTCCATGTTTCGCAAATTAGCATCTGAGTTTGTTGAGTACTGCTTCTGTGGTCGTAGTGGCGCAAATCAATTGCAGAACAATCACTATTGTAGCTCACCGTGAGCACATAATATTTCTCGTTGTCATAGAATAATTTCATCGCCAAGTTCTGCACCGGTCTTTCAGCGACGTCATGCAGCATCATTGTTTCAATCGTCTACAGGATGTTTAAGAATGGCCCGCCTCACAACTCTACACATGTTCCCTGACTTGACTGGCCAACTGATCAATAATCTTGCTCAGTAAATGATATAGTTGGCAACCAGGTGAACGCGATGAACGTGTTTCAGCGGTTCTTCTTGGTGTGGTGACGAGATAAGACCATGGCTTCGCTTGAACTGCAAAACATCATAGACAGTGATCATTCAGAAAATAGAAATAGAGTGTTAGTATCCCTGGCATCTACTTCTGTCTCCCGAACACTCATTCATAAAAGATCCCGCAAAGCTGGAACCGTGGTCTCTTCCTCTTTGGGACGCCTTATTCCTTTTGACGATATTTCGTTACTGCCAGTTGATGTACTAGGTTAACCGCTTCGAATTATTCCGCATGATTCTCAGCTACCTACAGACAATTTCTTGACAGCGCACCCGCCATTAACTTCCGTGCGCCTGGCGTGTACATGATATACATAACTTACGTCTGAAGCAGGTTAAGAATATGCTGACGACGACGAAGAACTTTTCACAGCTGTTGGCTGAGTATAGACACAATCCTATTCGTAGTTTACTTAAGAATAGTAAGAGACGTACAATGTTATTAGTAACAATTCGTTACATTCGACTTTGTCAAGCAGGCATCCCAGGCCCAGAAAACTACACTACGGCTGTTGTATCCTTTTGGGATTCGTCAGCAATGCGCAATCCATTTGGTTCTTCTAGGACCGGAACCCTCAACTTGACTGTTGCCAATCTGTGGTTGAGAACGCTGAGCTATGAGCAACGGCAACTGCAGTCGGGATTAATAATATACTATAGCGCCGCTGACTGTCCACTGATGTACACATTGGTACTATGCAGAGGACAGCGAATCCCTCACTAAACAACGAGGAAATTTAAGCCGCCAGTTAACTAAGGGCATTATAAACAGCCTGCTCTGTATGCTGATTAGAATGGGGTAGCGAGGGAAGCTAAATGGAATAAGTAGGCACATATCATATCTGCACTTAGTTAAATAGCCACCACACGCCCGGAAAAACAAGGTACGACCATTCTATCCTTCCAGGGAATATAAGAAATTGAGCGGCGCTTTATCAGATATTGCACATTTGTCACGTCCATTTCTACTCCACTCGGTAACGCAGAGTTTTCTACCACAGACCAGTAACAGATTGGTTGCTTGTTCTTGCCTCCAAGACCCACATTTAATACGCGCTGCTGACGAGTTGCGAAAAGATGAAACAACTTTAACTTTATTTTCCATGTGTTTGATGGAAATCTGAATGTGTCTATATGCGGTTAACTTTGCAGTATTGAGATCCACTTATACTCCCTGATAATGAGAACGACATAAGAAGTCTAACAATGAAAATGCCTTTATAAGTTTAGAATTCATTAGTAGCTACGTGTGAGATATAAGACAGGAAGAAAGTGTCCACATGCAAAAATTCAGAAGGGTGGGAAATGATTCCAGGTGCAGAGTTGGATGGTCTACATAGGACTGTAGCTTGAATCGCATCTGGATCAAATTATAGCTTTTCAAAAGAGTTTAGGACCACCTTGTGATAACTGATAATGAATGCCTAGAATAACCACAGAAGCATTGGATAAGCCAATGTAAAAATAACTTAAGTATGTGGCCAACGTAGGTGGGGAATGAACATATTGTTTGTGTCCATCTATGTGTAAACACGGAGCAAAATGTGCTCGCATATTTGGCGGCTTATGTGTACAATGTCTATTCTACATAGGTTATATTGAATTTCTCCATTAATTGCTTTAGAGTTAACTGGTAAATCTGCTTAGTATCAAAACAATGCTCTAAGATGTAAATTATTCCCACTGCGCTTCAGTGGGGGAGTAAATATAACCCAACGTTATCGAGGTACTTTCTGAAGCGACACATACAACTATGGTGTCAAAGTTGCAGTCTTTAAGAGGAATGTTTAGCAATGATATTTGGAAGTTGTCGAATACATATATAATCCAACCAGTGCCAGATACAGTGTCCTGACAGGTACAATTTCGTTTTACTAGTCAATATGTAAGCAAGACTGCGAAGTCTCCTTTATATACAATGTCACTGTCACAAAAGTAAATTTTAATTCAAAGAGGGTTACATGAAGCGATGAGCGTGCATACTATTAAGAATTGAATGGATATTGAAGAGAAGTTATTTGATGGATTTTCTGAACACATAAACGTGCCAAATGCCTGATTAATTTAGACTGCATTTCTGACGAAGAAGCAAAACGAGTTGAGTGGCATAGGCTGGCGTATATATGGGCAAGGCTGGACGTCGTTTAAAATGTAGGGAAGAAGATGGATTTGTAATCAGTGGGGGACACGATTTCAGGTTTTCAAATCGCTTGTCAATAAGGTTTACGATGATCGACTGTTGACGAGAACAAGCAAAGTTTACAGGACTAGATATTTATGAGCTATTCATGAGCAGCAAACAATTATATATCAATAGCAAAGATTAGCTACAAGATTTAGGCTTGAATCTCATCTGGAAATTCAGGGTGAAACTGAAGTCCTCATAGGAAGGGTTACCAATAAGTTACCTTTCCAAGTCTCACGATAAATTCAGGTCACTCAATCTTTCGAGTATGACAGTAGAACAAATATTCAGGAAACGATCAGAGCGCACCCAGAATGGTGGCAGTAGAGGTCCTCAGAAGAATGGAAACTGGAAGACAAATACAATAACCGAATGAAAAACATTTTTTATGTGGGAGGTTTCTCTGATAATACTAAACTCTCAAGCCAATGCTTGCAATACGGTTCTATATGTCGAACTGCAGCTACATGGTGCCGGCCAAGCATGTATCGATGTAGGCAACATAGTGACAGTATGTATACGGTGAAGCAAAGTCGCTGCTCGTCTTGTTGACGTCGAATCCAGTCATTTCCGAGTTAAAAGCACGTCAATAATGTATGGGAACCGTGTTCGAAGAAGTGTATGTATTTGGTCGCATGAAAATGTGTCTATGTTTTTTACTTGCGATGGTTAATTGCGCATTAATTTTACTGACCAAGATACTTGTGGTGTACACAGTCGTTTATTTGAATGAAGCCTGATAAGGACAACGATAACGTCTAACTCTCAATGAATACATGACCATCTTCTATACAACACAAAAAGAAGTTTCCTTATCCTGAATGCAAACCTATCTGATTGTTGTTTCCCACATTCGTTTGCCTGAATTGCACTCACCGATCGCATACAGTTGAAATACCAAAGCATCGAAGTGTTAGACAATTCCGTTAGACCATTCCCTCGCAGCGCTAAACATTGTCCAGAGATTAGCCTGCAACAAGGATCATGGTGAACCTAGTCAGTGTTGTGCCGACTGTCGATAAAACACAAAGAGGGAACAGATGCGGTCCTTACGGCGCGAAAGCATGTTTTGTTAGTTTGGGTTTACGTTGCTTTATAAAGTGTAGATCATGAATTCAGCGAGTATATTGCATCCTCCCTTTCCTAGTTTTGTATTTATTGCTTTGCTATGCTGTATACCTTTGGAGACATCCCACATTTCGTTCGTAGACTCCGGATTCTTGATGAAACATGCTCACCTATAATCCCACTACGCAGTTTGCAACTGAATTGCGAATTCAGGTTGCGTAGAAAAACTACTTAACCTATATAAGTTAGTCCTCGTAAATCTCATCCGATTCAGCGATGCTTATGTAGGTGGCAATATGTACACTACCCTAAGAAATCCACTTCGGATTCCTTA